GGACTTTTGACTCTGTAAAATGTGTTCAAGATTGAATGACAGTCTTAAAACTACTGTTTTAATCTTTCATTTCCTTTTTCCAAATATAAGAGGATATTGTTGATTACAGTAATATGCTGCTATTAATATGTAGCCTTGTAAAAATACAGTTTTGTACTGTAAATATTCCAGTAACTACCCCACTCTGCCAGCAAATAACTATAAACTTACTTGTGTTTTTACAGTTACATTTCACAGTGTGACCCTGTTTACAGCTGGTCGTTTCATGTGTCCTGAGCATCGGGATTATGTCTGGAAAGAGATTATCCACATAAAACTGGTCTTTAGGTCTTGACCCGGTCTTGTGGGGGTGGGGGTGGGGGACTCTGGCCTGCCACTGCAGCTGAAAAAAATCCTAAACACTGTAGCATACCGTGAAAAAAGGTTCACTGGACTGTCACTAAACAGACATCGCTGCTCCTTCTGTTGAGCTCTTAACATGAGTTTTTTCTCTGAGTTTAATTCAAGAGCCTTCACTGGCCTGAGCTATAGCTAAAACAAAGCACTAGTTTAGTTAATCTTCACTTTGCCTCGTGTTTATTGACAGCCTCGCTTCAATACATTACGTTTAACACGTTTCATGACCGCAATGACTACTGCAGGAGGCTAATTATTTGTCTGTGATGGAAGTCATACAGTGTTGACCTGCCTTAACCAGATATGCATTTGAATACTAAGCGTACGTGCATGTGGTTACTTTTCTTATACGGCAACAGTCCACATACAAGTCACATGAAATAGCCAGGTGTAAAAAGGGTCTATGACTCTTGAGCATCCACTTTTTCGGTGACACTGTGAAATGACAATCACAATTCGCAGCCAGTGACTCTCAGACAGTACCGGCTATGAGATGCACCTCTATGTGATTCAGCATCTGAATTATTTACAGTGTTGAGAAAATGGGATGTGCTAAAGTAGGTTATTCCATTCCAAACAAATGTTCTCCCACAAGAACCACAAAAGCACATGTTTTTTCAGTTTGACAGGAAGCCAAGTAAAATTATGTCTTTGTTGAAAGACATTAATGTCTTGACAACTCATCATCTGAGCAGCATTTTGAGCAACAGCTCTGATGTGTGTGGTCCAGTGTGGTCCTGGAGTCCCCCTGCATGATACATCAGCATTTTTACTTCTCTGACTCACCTATTTTAAACCTTCTAGGCCAGATATTTTCAGCTCTGGTCTAAGAGGGCCTTAGTCCAGTCCATTGTGGTCACGTCCCTGCTCGACAAGGATGGATTACTGACCAGGCCTCTGGAGCCAGGGCCCAGGAGCCTCAACACTGAGACGGCTCAAGATGGCTCAAAAACTTGGGATAATCTACTGCAGATGTAATCTTGATTAACAAACAGCTCTTGAATATGTATAAACGACTAAATAAGTGAATAAATGAAGAATGTTACCTGTTCTCAGGCTAAAGTTTTCTGTTTTCAGTTATTATTGACCGAGGGTGTTGCTATTCAAATTGGGATATTAGTGTTTACCCTTCCGTTTGTGTAGGACCTCTTCTGTTTTGTATTATGACTCGGTTTGACATTCAAATATTGCACAAAGATCTATACAGAGATTTCTACAGTGCAGACACAATAAGATACTGCACATAAATAAGACTAATTTTCATGACTAATGGCAGTCATGACTAATCAATTAATCGATTAAAAACATAATTGATTACAATGTACCTTTTGGGCAGTGACTGGTTGAAAATTTGTATGATAGAAATGCATATTCTAAATTTCCCCAATGGTCTGTCTTAAAGTAAAAAACAGCCAGATGGACACTTGCAAACCATGCATAGTCTGCCTTGTGTACTATATATATATATATATATATATATATATATATATATATATATATATATATATTTATATAGTGAATACATAAAAAGTAAATTCATAATATATATATATATATATATATATATATATATATATATATATATATATATATTATTTTTTTTCTACTCTGTGCGCACCATCGTTCAGTATGAACATGAAAGCAGTGCCTAACTTTAAGTTAGTAAACTCTGCAAAAGCAATGCATCCAACCTTTTAGTGCCTTTGTCTTGCTCTAATAATGAGCAGCTGACAGCTGTTCAGAGCAAGTTAGCTTAGCAGGAAAGGCTTGTGCTGCTCGTTAGCTCATTTGATGGTTTATTCTCGTGACATTACTGATTCAGATGTCAGTGTGCGGGTTATTGTAGTGTGCAGGTGTGTTCACACTTACTCCAAATTCACACCAGATGCGACACATCAGCGTCAGGATATATGAAGTGCAAGCATCCATGCGTCTAAACCACACTGCCTCCAACTCATCTCTGTCACGTAAACACTTCAGGTGGGAATATCAGCTCTTTTTTCTCCTTCTTTTACATTTAAAATGGTTTTTTGGCAATTTTTGAACTTGATAGCACGAATGGCAGTTTTTTATTTGCAGTGAAATTACGAATATGAGTTTTTACCACTGTTTTTGTCAAATTAAAGCCTCGTCATAACAGTAGCCTCCACAAATTGTTAGTACAGCGCAGGAGCTGCACAGAAACTTCATGGCCAACAAGATCTTCACGTTTTAGTAAATTATGGATATAAACATAGAAAGTTTGTGCGATTTTACTCAAGCATCCCATTTATGCTTCACTCGCTCACACAAATAAACAAAATAGTTTTTGAGGGTAAAAAAACACATCAGGTTTATGTTTTGATGGATATAAGGTACACCTAGTGTTTACACCTGTAGTTCAGTTCTGTTGGTCCAGACCAGGTGTTGGCAACCCAAATGTTGAGAAGAGCCATTTTGTCCCATTTCAACAAAAATCACTGAAGTAATGTTTTACCATCTTGGCTGTAAATATGTCTCAGTATGTGCTGATGTACTGGTATAGGCTAAACTTTGCTCTGCTTTGGCTATAGCCGCTTTTCTTGTATCTCTGGCAGGAAACGTTTACTCAAAAGTAGAACAGTTTCTTGTAAAATGTCTCTTAACATTCAACTTTTTACAAGGCTGAAGTCAGCTTCTCATTCGCCAGCTTCTTGTTTGAACTTCTCCATGGAAAATCAAGAAGCTGGTGAACGTGAAACTGACTTCAGCTTCACAACTTTTAGTGTTTGACAGTTTCTTGTTGCAGATTAAACATATCAGGAAACCAACTGGAGTGATTATAAATGCAAATAAGTTCATTTGTCTCCACATTATCAATGTTTGTCTTAAATCTTTCTGTTTGCCTTTTTGTTCGCTACTAGCTAGGCCAGAATATTGTCTGTGTTGCTATGGTGACCAGCAGTCACCATAGGGTAAATTAGCAGTTATACATAGAACTCTAGCGTTTAAGACCATTTATTGTTAAACTGTGTTGAACGATCAGCAGAGCTTTATTTTACTGTAAAGGAGGATTATTTTATTTTTACCTACAAATCTAATTCTGCTGTGGAGCCACAACAGGACAGTAAAAGAGCTGCCTGTGGCTCTGGCACTGCCTGTTGCCAACCCCTGGTCCAGATCAAAGCAGAAAATGATACACTGATGCATTTTAGTTCTGGTTTGCTTGGCGTTCACACTGACAAATTTAACCTCGAACCAAAAGATGTAAGCAAAAATCATACGAGTAAAAGGTCACAACTGATTGGGCAGATTTTATGATATAAAATAACTGTGATAAAAAATTCCACCCTACTTTCTGAATCATGCTGTTCTCCATTCCGTCTGGGTTTGGTATTATTTCTGTCTTATTTTATCAGTCTTGTGTTATTACAGCAATAAGACACGAGACTCCATTAGAGAGTATTACCGTGGTTTTGCACAACACAAAGCCGTGTGAAATCCCTGTAATAGCCTCAAGTGGCTCACTGCTTTTACAAAAAGGAGAAACCTTGGCACCTCAATACATAATATAGTTTATGTGTGCAGTCAAATGTGTATATCCTGTATTTTATAATGACTTCAAACGTATCTCAATTTCAGTTTTAAAACCAAGACTATCTATTCTAAAGTTACCGATTCAGAGCTTATAAAAGAGGTGATAAAACATGCCCATGTCAAAACACCCTCAGGAACCAAATAAGTATTGTAGTTCGTTCTGTCTTTGGTCCTTTTAGACATCTTAGGTCTGTATTGCATTCATACTTCAAATGAACCGCATCCGAGTTCTTTTTGAAGCGAATCAAGACCAAGGTTCGGATGGTGCACACAGTTCGGATGGCAATGTTCTCACTTGCTCTAACGAACTGCTCTAACAGAGCAATCGCCGCACCTGGCTTGTGAGCCCTGATCACCATGGAAGTATATCTGATGATCAAAAAATGCTTCAGGAATGCATCCGGTGTAAATTGGCTGTAACGTCAGATACGGGTCGCTTACCCACACTAAAGTGAGCCAGAAAGATTGTATTTAAGCGAAAATGAAGGTTGTAATGCAAATTTAGCTTTATACAATTCAATAGAATAGCTCTACTCAGTAGTTATCTACCAGGTTTAGTGTGTGCTTAAAAAAAACTGTGGCACCCTCCAGGACCAGAATCAGACTCCCTGATCAGTATCACTTAAGGTTTGTTTTTCTCTACTCATCCACAGTTTACACTGTAACCAGGTCTTAGTTGTGCAATAATGATGACAAGCCATGTTTGTCATTACTCTTTCTGAGCTTATTACAATCAAGGGAACACCCTGGCGGTGAACTCTCTACAAACCCATAAAAATGTGTTATGTTATGTGCACAGCTGCGCCTACGATGGCGTAAGTCACATTTTACTGCCCTCAAGATATTCTTGTCTCAGCCAGACTGAAAAGCTGTTACTGTGGTAGACTGTAGGTGAGCCCACCTGCTACCTTACTGATTCACCTGTTAAATGAAAGAGGAGCTCCTCAAGGAGCGACCGCAATTGAAGGCTATTTCTGTTAATCTCAAGGTTGCTCTTAACAAGCGATGACTCCCACTAGCTTCTGAACGTTCACCCTTGAACAGCTTACCTTTCACTACGCACATTTCTTCGCACGCCTCCAAGGTCTCAAAGTTGTTTGCGTTGCCCTGGCAGCCTCCGTACTCGAACGGCTCACAGCGACCTGTGTCGATGTCGAAGTAGAATCTGTCGTGTAACGCCTTGCACGGGCCCTCGTCCTTCTTCAGGGCACATGAGTGATGGAAGATGTGGAGGCGAGGCTGCCCTCCATCTGCTGAGACAGGGAAGGAAGCCAAAATTATGATTCTGCCATGCTTGGGATAATTTGGGTCAGTTATTAGCTCCTAACCTGGGGTTCTGTATGAAAATAATAAAGGCGGATTTCGGATTTCTGGGAATTTCAAAGGAACTTTCGCTTTCAACAGAACAAAGACCTCACGCCGCTTAAAGATATTTTAACTGCAGTGGAAGGCTGCAGATACGCTGCCTGCCGTGGCTTTGCCCTTAGTGTTTTGAACCCGCCTGAAATCAGAGTAAACCACCCACAGTCCGTTGTTCCCAGGGTGAGCGGGAAAAAAACAGTAATGACTAATTCACTCCGACTTCAAAGCACGAGGAACCTCAACTAAGGCAGAATCTCTGCAGTGATAGATTAGTGCTCATAGCCAAAGAACTAAAAATAGGGATTTACAAGAGCAATTGAATTCCAATACTGAAATCACCATGGGGGTATTCGTTAAGGTGCTTCATGGGAAGTCAGTGAACATCTGATGATGTAATGTCCTCATTAGATGTCCTCTGTCTTAAAAGTCTGAGCCCTTTGGAATTACATCATTCATGTTTATTTTGGTGTCATAAAGCTACCGTCACATGTGTAGCACTGCAGAAAGCATGGCAAAAACTCAGCGTGACACTTAACGGAGTGATGTAAGCCTTGCGTGTTCAAATCTATCCCAGATATACGTCTGCACAGGCATGAAATCGAAGCCAGAATGTGACCTGACAAAGCCTGACTGGTGCTGTGAAATTTGACTCAAACTGCTCGCATTGCTGCAGGACAGCTGCATCCACAGTAAACACGTCACCAAAAAGACTGTTATTGCTCTTGTTATCATAGCCATAAATACAGTACTGCAATCTCTACAAACACACTAAAAGTAGCCCCTTTACCTGAATGATTGAGTCAGGCCTCTTTCAGTAATCCCTCATCACCTCCTGTACAGTCAGTTACAGTCGGAGTTAATCTCAGTCCAGGTTGTTATTGAGCAAACATTACAGATATATATGAAATGAACAGGCAGTCTCTTGGGGTATCAACAGCCTGTAGCCCAGGGTTAGCCTTTGGCATAGCAGCCTGCTGACCATGCTAGTATTTCCTACAGCTGTTACTCTTAGGATAACAACAGCCTGTAGCCTAAGGTTTGCCTTAGAGGCCTGCTAGCCATGCTGGTATTTCCAACTGCTGTTACTCTTGGGGTAACAACAGCCTTAGGCCTAGGCATAGCAACCTGCTAGCCATGCTAGTGTTTCCTATATGATCAGATTAGCATTGCCTCCAGTGCGCCTCTGTCGGTCAGTTGCATCAGACAACGCTGTGGTCTCGCAGCCTGGCCTTTCAATCAAGCTGAGAAATCCACTGCTGCTGACAGCATGAGTGACAATATTTACTGAACTCCAGCAGAATCTGACACTCAGATGATGTAAGAGTGTACGGAACGACATTTAGCACCATTTTTGCCGTGACGGCGAAGCAGTTATGTGCTCAGGCTCATGCACTATAGGCTTTTCTATATATCGGTCAGGTCTGTATATTCTATTTTGAATAATCAGAAATATTTAAAATTTGCTTCAGTTGGGAAATTTCATTCTTATCAAAAAAGAGCAGGCATTCTTGAAAGATAAGTCATGGTTAACTTACAGAAACAGAGTTTCTTAAGCATCTATAATGGTCGAATTGGGAATTATATTTTCGCTGTCCAAAAAAAAACATGCATTTCCAAAAAAGGTAAGTTTACAGGAGAGGGCAAAACGTTCTTTACTCTTAATGCAAGGAAACATAAAACGTTTTTATCCAAGGCATTTTTGGATCATTTCTACTGGTCCAATCATCATGAATTTTTTATATAATATAAAGAACAGCTGTGCTGAAATTATGTAGAAAAATATAATTAGAAAAGAAATTGAGATTTTTTTTTTGTTTTTTTTGAACAGTGATAATAGATATATTATCCACTGACTCAGTAATGTTTTATTAGTGACACAGAAGGCTACTTTTACCAAAAAATTAAATATTAAAAAAGTGAAACTGTATAAATATCATGATATTTAGGCACTTTATCCAGTAGTTTGATTATAAAGAGTCAGTATCTGTAAGATACTCAAGACTGGCATATACTTGAGGATCAGTTATCGCATCTGAAAGGAAAAGGGGGATCGGCGCACCCCTAACTATCCACACAGTAACTGTCAGACACTTGAATATCCATATTAGTCAGAAATGATCCTCCCTAGTGGTCAAATCCCAGTTATAGTACATTACCTGCTGTGTACACAGTCAGGATTTGCCTATGAAGAGAGAGCACGCTACAAACTGACAGATGGACAGATGGTCTGCGCTTTGACTGACAGCTTCCTGCATCGTTCACTTAACCTTCGGGGTCCTCATATCCATCCTGCTCTGAATCTCTCTTGTGCTCCAGACAAATAATCCTCAAGCAACCCTCACTGACCCTTCTTGAGCATCTGCTCTGGAAAGACCGGAACCCTCAGACTCAGCCCTCTCCTTCCTCTCCTTTGTGTAAAGATCTCCTGGCGCCCTGTGTGGATACCATTCAGCAGAAGAATGAAACCAAACACATTAACCCAACGCGGTCCAAGCTTTCAAAGCGACCGGTTTGCTTTTCCTGGAGATTCAATGTTTTCTGAGCAAAGGCCCAGATATTTGTATTTACATTCCTCTACACCAGCTGAAATGCGGTCAGAGAGTCTGTCCCCCAGAGGGGAACAATAAAAGAGAGCCTGTTAGCTGCCCTGCTCAAGTGTGCAAATGTGTACACTGCCCATCAAAAGTTTGGGAACACCTACCTTCTAGTGTTAATGAGAGTTTTTGTTGTCGGTTTAACACATTAAAGATTAACCAGCTTTGTTTTGTACTTTGTCGATCATGCGAAAGAGATCTGTCACGTTTCTGTTCCCGTGACTATTCCCAGTCTGGGAGCAGCAGAGCAGCACCGTTTGAGGCAGTGGGGGGTGCCTTGCCCAAGGGCACAACCAGGTAGAGCAGAGTTTCAATATGTGCTTTTAACAATAGTTTAGACAAGAAAACTGTCAAATCATTATTTAGGGCAAAACTGCTCTTCAAATCAAGGAAGACACTTTGATACTTTCAGAAACTTGAGTTTTGAGGATGAATACACCCCAAGCATTAGCTACTGTTTATACTAACCTATTTTTTCCACGTATATTTTCTTACTTAATTGAAAAGTAACAATGAAAACTAAAAAGGAAAAGTTTGTGAACAAACTTTAAGTCGGCTTGAAAAAGCCAGCTAATTACTTTAAAATGTTAAAATGGTCAAAGACTGTTGATGGTTACTAAAGTGTTGCTTAAATGTCGCTAGGTGGTTGCTATGGTATCACAGGGGGATGTTAATGCATTGCCAGGTGATTTCTTAAATTTTACCTTAAATCCACTGCCACCTTAAAAGTAATCATCAAATAAATTCACTGCCACCTTAACTTTACTAATACCTTAAATACCCTGCCACCTTAAATTTACTGATATCTTAAATACACTGCCACTTTAAATTCACTGCAACCTTAAATTTACTGATACCTTAAATTCACTGCTACCTTAAGTCCATTATTTGCGCTGTTATTGCTGTGCATTAGGCTGTAAGCATGTGAGTCCGTGTGTACTGTGTATGAGTGTCTGCGTGAGAGATGTGCATTGTGACATCACTTGTGGCACTTAGACTTGGATGTCCCGAACATTCGGCCATTCATTTCCTAAGGAAAAAATACCATCTTTGAGCGATCATTTTACGAAAACTGTATGTCGGATTGCTTAGAATAGCACAAGCACACTATTCAGGTATAGGTCCTACGATCCTGCAAAGTTTTGTGGTTCTAGCTCAAAAACTGCAGGACAAGAAACGTTTTATTTTTTGAGCGTAGAATAAGAAGAAGAAGAAGAAGAGGAAGATTACGAAGAAAAGGAAGATGGCTTTTCAAGCCAACTTAAGCATTCAAAAGCAGGCAAACCAAACTTTTGAAGGGCAGAGCAGGCAAACCTCCTCTCCAAACCTTTCAAAACACTGATGACAGAATAAGACTAAGAATTAGGTTTTGGCTGGAGAAGCCAGACACACTCTGGCTGAAGATGTGTACTGTGGCTGAGGATGAAAACAGATGGAGAAAGTGAGGGAACATTTGTCCCACTAAGCTGCCTTCCTTCTTACTTTGGTGAAAAAGAGTCTGTCTCAGACGGAGGCAAAAACAGGATGTCCTCACTGATTGATTTTGCTGATAGCGCCTCAGGTACAGCAGCGGAAAAATACTTTGCCATTCACCGGAGTGCTCCACATCCAAACAACTATTTTTTAAACTCACAATTCCCTGCTCAGTCTTTCAGAACACCCTCCTCTGTAAACGGATAAAACACGTGTGGTTCACATTTTCTTGAGCAGCATTTACACCTGCGATTTACACTTGTGCGAAAATTGATATGGAAGATGTTTGTTCCTGCTTGAGTCTTCAAAATGATGTGCAAAGAGCAGCTGTTCTGTTTTGTGGAACAGCCGTCTCAATCTTAACATAAAAAGATTTTTGTTATATATTTTAAATGAATTAATTAGTTTTGCAAATAATTGCATGTATTTTAAACTCAATAATATATTAATGGTGCTTTCTTTTGCAAAAGACATGCTCTATTACCTTCAAATAAAAGGGAACCTTCAGGGCCTTCTAATGATTTCTGGGAACTAAATATTTTACATGCCTGTAATTTTTAGTTAATAAGTGATATAATCATGCTTTCCGCAAGGAAAGAAAAGGGTTAAATTCTTGAAACAATGAGTGGAAAACCAATCAGGAATTATTTTTCTCCATACATTGTTAGAAATAAAGGTGCTGTTCAGGTACATTTTTTATTCATCAAGGTACAAACAGTGTAAATGTTCCCTCAAAGGAACAACAGTGGTTTTAAGGTCTGATTGTGAACCTTAAATAAGTTTTCCCAGGTGAAAAGTTCGTATTTGTATCTTTTCATAACGTA